CTGAGATCAACATACAGTGATGAGGGAATAATTCCCAGAGTTCAAAGATTTGTGTTGGGGTGTGTCATCAATCTTGACCATGTGCTGTATCAGGTTGAGATCACTGATGCCAGGGTTGCTGGAGGCAAGTCACAACAGTGTATGAAAGGCACAGGTGTGGTAGATTGGGTGTGTTCATATGATGAAAGTGGTTCAGATGTGGAGAAGGTTGAGAAAACTGTAAGTTGGCCAACCTCTACAGGGACTGCTGAACTTTGTGGATTTCTAGGATTGGTCAGATATTTTTGGATTCTTGTTGAGAGGTATGGATGGATTGTGGAGCTGTTGTATGGTCTTCTTCAAAGGAATGTGACTTGGGATTGGACTCTACAAACATGAAGAGATGTTCAATGCTTTAAAGGCCAAGCTTGCATCCCATCCCTCAGTTCTGCCAATTAATCATGAGGAATTGTCTTTGGTTATTATTATAGCCATTGACACTAGTCTTATAGACTACAGTGGGTGCCTCATGCAAATCCAATGTGGAGCTCAACATCCTGCTTGATATGAATCTGGTGTTTGGGGTGATTCTGAGAAGAAATATGATGCTGGTAAACATGAGTGCAGAGTTGTTTTAAAAACCCTTAAGAAGTTTTGATGTTGGGTCTACAGAATACATTTCACACTTGAAGTGGATGCAAAGATCTTGATTGCTCAATTGAATTGTACTGCTACAGATGTTCCTGGAGCCATGGTGAACCAATGAATTGGCTGGATTCAGTTATTCACTGTCAGGCATGTTTCTGGGAAAGAAGCATTCTATTGCTGATGAATGTCACACAGACCTAGCCAGTGTGAACTTCTTGAATTGGAAGTCCTGACAACGAAGATTTATTCTCTAAGTGTCACACAGCAACAGTTCACAATGTTGCTGAAATGCCAAGAATTCTGGATTCAACATATTTGGAAGAATTGGAGCAAATAGCATTCTATCTAACAACCCTTGACAAAACCTAAGGACATGGCCTCCAAGGATTGTTACCATTTTCAGCAGAAAGCAACCAAGTTCATTGTTGAAGGTGATCTGCTATTTTGATGTGCTGGATCTGGTGTTCCTCTTTGATGCATTGTTGATGGTAAGGAAATTTGAGAGAAGATAATGCATGACATGCATCATGAACTGGGCCATAAAGGACATGAAGAAACATATTCTGCTGTTGCAGCTCAGTGCTGGTGGCCTGGTATTTATAGAGACATGTCAGCATATGTCAAATCTTGCAATGGTTGTCAACTTTGAGCATCTCAATGAATTAATGAGAAATTGCACCCCACTTGGACCTCTACTGTTTGGGAATGTGTTGGTGTTGATATCAAGCATATGCTCTCTTGCTGTGGACAAAATTATTTGGTTGTTGCTCAGAACAATCTGTCAAATTGGATTGAAGCTTGTGCATTGAAGAAAGTGACTGCAGAAGCTGTGGCTCAATTTTTATATGAGGATGTCACCTGCTGATGGGGAATGCCTAAGAAATTTGTTATGGACAGCAGAATCTGGAGAATAAGGAAGTTGTAGAAATACTGGCTAAGAAATATCATATTGATTGGATTATTATTTCAGCATATAATGCTAAGGCAAACGGTCAAATTGAAGCAGGCCATAAAATCATTGGAGATGAGCTTGCTAAGACCACTCATGAAACTGAAAAGGATTGGCTCAAATGCCTACCTGCAATTCTTATGGCTGATTGAATGACTGTTAAAAGTACTACTGGAATGACACCCTATCAGATGATGATGGGTCAGGAAGCCATTTTGTCCATTGAACTCAAAGTTTCTATCTGGCAGACCCTTCTCTGGAGAACTGTTTGAATGACTGAGAACTTGCTTGCATTGTGTGCAAGGCAAATTGAACAATGTGATGGGGATATTGAGGAGGCAGTTCTGCACAGGAAATGAATGCAGTTGGTCAATGAAGAATATTTTGATGACAATAAATGGATTCAGTCAAAACCTTTGGAAGTTGGTGATATTGTGCTTGTGCATAATACAAAGAATGAACAAGATATGTCAAGAAGCAAGACTCTTTGATTTTGATGGCTTGATCTGTATTGTGTTAAGATTGTGCATCAGGATAAAGGGCCCTATCAGCTTGAAGAATTGAACAGCACTGAATTGAAAGGTTCTTTTGCAGGGGATCAATTTAAGAAGTGCTATACAAGAGAAGAGGTGTTAGCCATTGAAGCTCATGTTAATGAGAGTGAGGAAGAGAAGTGTAGGGTGAGAACAAGAAGCATGGGCAATGTAGCTGTGGACTTAGAGGATGAGTCATCTTCCCATGTCAGGGAGGATAGCTCTGAGGAGAATGATGGTGATGTTACCATGTCTTCAAATAATTTGCTCATTCCTTCCCCTTCTCCCTCTTCTGATACAAATGCTGAAGATGAGCAGAATGATGGTGACTCTTTGTCAAGTTTGTCAAGCAGTGGAATTCCTGAAGAACAAAGATTTGCTGTGGTAATTTGTAAGAATCTTTGTTTGTGAGATCTTTGTTTGCAGCACATTTCCTTTACAATGACCCCCATTATGTATGGTGATTGGTGTGATGGGTGAAGTATTCAAGTGAAGTTGATGGCATTTGCCTGCCTCATTTCTTTTGTTAAAAGAATTTTCTATGTTATAAAAGCACATTGATATCTTTTGCCATTCTTTTTTTTTCTTTCTGTTTCAACTCATGATTCTTCTACATTTGAGATTTGAGAAAACACCACCTTTACACCTCTCTGTATACCCTCTCTGTATATCTTTTTCTTATTATTTTCAAAACACCTGTGCTGTATCAAAATGAACCCAAGCAGTTGTGCTAGCCCCCCCCCTCAGTTGACTGTCATGCCTCAAGCAAGCCATACAGTGACTCCTGGAAATGCTGCTGTTATCATTGGGAGTATGTGTTTTCCAAATATTCAAGAAGCTATTTGATATATTGAGTTTCACCTGTTGCAAGAACATTATTTTCTACAAAGTCAACTTATGGAAGGGTCTATGTCTGCCCACAATCTACTGGAAGATATAGTCACCAACTTCTATAACTATGTCAACTGATTGCAAGCTTGGACACATGTAGGCCAACATTGATTTGAAAGTGACTTCAATGTGTCTTGGGAAGTTGCTCAATGAGTGCAGAAAAAGTAAAGAGACATTGCAAGTATTAAGAACAGGCTTGTGAACAAATGGGGAAATGATTGAATTGATGCTCTTTGGAAGCATGTTGACACATTGTGGATGGCTCAATGAACTAGATGAGCACTAAATTGTTACAATGACTGGAATGCATTTGTTCACTGAATCAATGTCAGCATGTATCAACACATTACCACTGAAGGGGCTGGACATTGAAGAACACATGCAGTTCTACCAGAAGATGTTGATTTTGCACATGACAATGTCAATAATGATTTCTATGACATATCTAGTCAACAAGATATTAGAAGAAATGGGCTGGAAGCAGGACTGCAAGGGATTCTACAGCAACTTACTCTACTTCATTCAAGTATGTCAATAAGATCTATTGACCAAACATTGAATAGTCCTCATTTGCTGCAAGCATTGTGTAGCCAGATAGGCAGTCCTGTTGGAAGCCTGTGAATGGCAAGTCCATGATCCATTATCATGGGTGGAACTGGTGGAATGCACAGTTGGAATGTTAGTATCCCCTCACAGCATAGTGATATGCCCATACATTAATGAACAATGTCTGGAAGTCCCTTCAGTAGGCCAGCTGCAAGCATCACTAGATGGTCTCAAAGAATTGCTGCCATTGCGCGCCAGCAAGAAGATGATAATGAAGATATTGAGTCAGTTCTATCTTCTGAGTCTGATGAAGACATTCCAGCAGAAGCTGAGGAAATGCAACTGGTTAAACAGGATCAATGCAAATGCAATGGATTTGAAAAATCTCTTCTCACAAAAATAAGAGATACAAAACATTGGAATGCTGTTGAGGTTATGTGCATTTTGAAAGCAGTTGGAGATGCATTCAGCAGTGGCTGCCCATTCTTATGTTACAACCATTTGAAACTTCTGACCTCAAAATTAGGATTGCAGACAAGGTTACTTGATTTGGCAGGTCTTATCCAAAGATTACACCATCTATATGAGCATCAGAACAACTTAGACACTGTCAAAACAGTGGAAGCCACATACAATTGATTCTGACTGGCAAACCAACCTCCCTGTCCTGAAGATATGTTGGAAATATACAAGTACAAGCATTCAGAGAAGATCCTGCAAGTTGCTAGGATGACTGGCTTTGACTACAGAAGGTATGCATGGATTACTGGCATTTTTGGTGAGAATATTGCATTGGCATGGCACAATGATAGTTCAGTCACCCTTTTCAGTCTTATGACATGGTGGAAGAAAGCAAGCTCTGGCAGCTCAAGCATCATGCAAATAGTGTCTGAGAAATTCAACATGTATCTTCACCATCAAAGGCTTATGGGAGAATGAGATAACTATGAATGGTTGAGAGTAATGTATTATAGCATTGGCCAGCAGCTAATACAACAGGACCCTGTCTACTATCTCTGGTATGTTCTTTTGCAACTGAATCATGCTTGGTGCATGATTTCTTACTCATACTACATGAAGTATGTCAAACTGGGGGATAAAACCTTCTTTAGACATATTGATGTCAACATTCTGGATGTGATTAAAAATGAAAGAGGGGTGAATATGATCCAAGAATCTCTGATGTTAATGAATGAAGTTCAAGATGATTGTATGCAAATACTGTCCAGCATGCACCATCATCTTGGAGAATGGTGGAAACTAGTTGAACAATGTGGATTGAGTATCAATGGGTACATACACCCAATCAAACTCATCATGTTAACTGAGACTGATGCCAAACAGTTCAAAACAAGATGAATGGATGTCATATGCAATGCTGGTGATGTTTGCATTACCTCTCCTCTTCTGCTGCATGGTGCCCACAGCTCATGTAAACAACAACAACATACCATGTTGTCTTGGTATGTAGTGATTCAAGATGATCATGATAGTTTGGAAGTGCTAGAAAGCAGCACATGGTCACAACTTGTGAATGCTTATTGAGATCTATCATCTGGACCAACATCTCCTTCAGAGCATTCTAATTAATACTCAATGATTCCATATTTGTTCTCTGCTGCTATCCATTTAGATGGAATGGGACATATTTTGGATGTCTTAGTTGGATGAGAAAGATGAACAAACCTGCAGGTAATGGTGGATTTAGACATTCTTTTCAGTTCTGATGAGACTGCTGCCAGGCAATATATCCACAGTTGGAGACAGTGTGCCTGAGCTTGAATTCCTGATCTGATTTGGAGAACCTTCCAATTGAAAAGGAAGTGCTATGGAGCAGAATTGTATTGTGTGGCTAGAACCACTGGAAGATCAGCACTGGAACCACACAACCTTCTTTGCTTGTTGCCTGTACTGGAGAACAATAACACTGGGGATCATTATTAAATGGTGTCATTCATTCATTTCTATTCTCCTTTTTCTATATTATTGCTATTCCATCACACCACCACTGCTCCTACTGAGGCATGTATATTATGGGAGAGTGCCTTCCCACAATTTGCTGGGACAGAATAAATGGATGACCCATGCCATGCTAAGCCCCTTTAGGTGAAATATCATTGGTTAAATGGATGACTCATGTAAGAAGCTAAGCCTATTTAGAACAATTCCTTGAATAAATGAACAATCTAGCTTATGAAGCATTCATACAGCCACAGGGCATCTCTGGCACCTCTGACCACAAAGCTTCTACAAGTCTCTATAAGTTAAATCATTCAAATCTGCAATAAAAATCTCAACCAGACTGCAGTTTGATTTCCTAGTTAGAATCAGCCTGCTTGCTTACAACTCAAAGATATGAAAGATGATGCTCTCTGGCAGCTCTTCTGTTTCTAAATTCTCTCTAGAATCCTGCCAGTCATGACCTCTTCCATGACCCCTTCCATAACCTCTTTCATGACCCCTTCCACAACCCTGACCATTTAGACAATTAAAACCTCATTCAACAATGCTGACCTGCTTCTGGCAACATTCAAACATTAGCCAAAAAGTCTTGTTAACTGAAACAAGTTATTAGTTCAGCATAAGACACAAAGAAAGCCACAAGAGCTCAGAATTATTTCCATCAGAAATTCTTCAAGCTTTTCTGAAGCAGAGAGCTGTGTTAGCTTCAGCAGTTGAAAATGAAGGTGAGATGAAACAGACTCCTCTGCTTCCTCACTTCTAGATCACTGTGGCCTTTCTGACTTTTTCTTGGTTCATAACACCCCCAAGCTCAAAAATATGAAAGATGGCACCTTCTGGCAGCTCTTCCATTTCTAAATTCTCTCTAGAATTCTGCCAGCCACAACCCCTTCCATGGCCCCTTCTGCAACCCCAGCCATTTAGGCAATTAAAACCTCATTCAACAATACTGACCTGCTTCTGGCAACATTCAAACATCAGCCAAAAATGACTTTTTCTTGGTTCATAATACCCTCAAGAAAGTCACAGGAATGTATGCAAAAGTCAAGAGTGTGAAGCAGAGCACAACTAAATTCAATCACAGAGTTCAAATCTTTCAGCCACCATGGAAGTTGCATCAAACACTCTTAAATTTGCAAAATCTCTATGCAAAAAAAGTCGCCTCAATTGATGGACCTCCAGTCCATATTATGTTTAATGGCAATTCCTGCATTGTGGACTTTAATTTTGAATAGACTGGGTCAGTGGAACCAGAATCCCAGACCCAATCCTGGTTTTCCTGTCCCATTTTCCTCCTGTGGGACATACTGGCCAGGATGGGATGGAATGGAATGTGGTACAGTCTATTCAGTTCAGTACTGAGATATACACATATGAGATTGGGATCCCAATCCTGTCCCACATTCATATAAAAAAGTAATGAATTTTGGTAACAGTCTTAGCATATTTCAGCAATTTTAACACTGCTATACCCATGTTGCCCATCTTATATACTAGTGGCGGGATCCTGATCCCAACCCGGTCCTGTCCCTATCATGGAATGCATGGGATTTGGTACGCGATTCTTATTGTGGGATGGTGCTGGCTGGGATTACTATCAAATTAGTATGGAATTCCAGTTCCATTATCCCACTGGGATGGGATATGGGACCAATATGGCTGCCACCAGGATCAAACTCCAAGCCAAATTTGGGGCCGGGACCAACACACATGGGATTTGGGATCCTGTCCTGGTCCCGAGCACCACTCTAATTTTGAATTTATAAGCAATTACAAGATGCAGAAAGGTGTTTATCCCACTGATTCCAACTTCCATGCAGGCTGTGACTGTGTTGGTGCAAAGTGTGACTTAAGCAGGCGCCCATGCCTTTCACAGGAGGGAGACTTCTGGGAATGGATCATACCTTACAGAGTTGGCAACACTGGTGTCATTATTTTGCGTGACAATTTCATGTGATGAAAGTCAATGATCTATGAATGCTCTTTGTTATGTAATTGTGACTGGAATTGTA